GAAAAAAAAAAACATATGGCTTGAGCCAAGGATTAAATAAACCACAACATATTTTTTTGAGGGAATCCCATCGATTTACGCGTGATTTACCGTACAAACACTTTGAAACACATAGGAAGCTAAGCACCAGCAATTTCTGAATTCAGTTAGACTTTTGACAAATATTAACAAAACACGTAGGTTTTAATTCATTTCTTCTGTTCTTCCATTTTAGTTCGCATTGGTTTAGATGGTGGTTTCTCAAAAAGTTCTCTTACGCGAAAGAAAAAACAATGAAAGATAACTTCTCATTCACCTCGTAAATTAAGAGAAAAAACGCGGAGTTTAAGTTTCCTCTCCGATCTTGGTAGCCTGCGAATACAGCTTTCTCTCCTCGCTCCTCGCTCCTCGCTCCTCGTTGCTAGGGACGTCCCTAGCAACGAGGAGCGAGGAGAGACAGCTGTATTCGCAGTTTATGATCTTGATGGCTGGTTTTGCACTATCGACATTAATTAAGTAATATTCAGCGTATGTAAATGCTCCTTTTTTCTTCGAGTGTCTTGTTAAACTTAAACGTATAAACAAACAGATTTCTTCAGGAACTCCTCATTGTTTCCGCACCCGAGCCTATCCTGCCGTAAATGAGCCTTAACATAACCTTTAAGCTTTTTTAGATTTATTTCAATGAGATCATTCGCCCTTCGGGGAACTTGTTTTTCATTAGTTGTACAGTGAAGTAAAGCAAATTGAGGTTTAAGGTTTTTTTCGTAAGTCCGTGGTAAATGTTATTTTTGGTGATGGGGGAGACTGACCCGAAGACGCAAGTGTGAACATTCTCCGGGGGACCCCCGAGATCATAAACCCGAGTACATACTACGGGGGACGGGGGCATGTTCATCCTGTAAACTTTGAGATTTGCCTCTCCTAAAGTGGGTACATATGTATGTAAAATATTGTCCTTTTAACAGTATTTTACACACCTTTTAAAATCAGAACTTTGGCGCTCCTGTAATTTGTAATTTGTTTGCCCACGGAGCACTAAGGAATTCTTAAGAACTCTAAAACATGTCCGTGCGTTCCAGATCGAATTGAAATTTGGACGTGTTGGTTTTTAAGGAGAGGGGTAAACCAGGGTACCGGGAGAAAAACCTCTCGAAGCAAGGAAGAGAACCAACAACAACCTCAACTCACATATGGCATCGATGCCAGGATTTGAACCAGGGCCACAATGGTGGGAGGCGAGTGCTCTCAGCACTGTGCCAGCCTCGTTCCTTAAAATCATGTTGATACTCTACAGGTTGGAAAGTCGTTCTTAAAGACCCCTTTAAAAAAGCACGGGGGTCGCAAAAGCCCCCAGCCCCACCTCCCTCAACCGATTCCCTGCAAACGAGCGGAAAACTAATGAGACTTCCTGGCTTTGCGAAAGAAATGAGATTCAACATATGGTTCGTTTTTGTCCTTGATAAATCTGTTTTCCGCCTTCTTGTTTTCGTTTTCTTTTCCATCCTGTGAAAACTAATCGTACCACGGCCTGCAAAAGTCAGTTTAGTTTAAAACAATATCTAACTTATTGTTTACTTTCCGGGACTCTTGATTAATTAGCACCCATTATATCGTTGGCGATCAAGGATAATTGGAATTAAGATGGATAAATCGTCTACCAACTCAAACAGTGAGAGTCACTTTATCAGGGAGTTCATGCAGACACAAGCAACTATGAACTTTTCGTCCGAGAGCAGGTTAGCTTTTTCTTGCCCACAGTATCCAAGTTTTGTGTGGGACCTAGCTGACAAAGTTTTCCCCTGGATAATGGTTGCAATCGTATCTATAGCAGCTCCCGCTGCAGTCATTTTGAACATTTTGGTTATCGCAGCGGTGAGATCAAGAAAGGAACTGCAAAAAAATCCAAACATTTTGTTGTCGAGCATAGCTGTTGCGGATATTTTGGTAGGTGCGATAAATATGCCTTTATCCGCCACTGTTGACTTTGTTATTTCCCGGCAAGTTTTTAACGATCATATTTGCTTGGTAGACTTGATTAATGTCTACTTGATGTACGCTTTAGCGGCGTGTACCCTATATCATTTGATCCTTATCGCTTGGGAGAGGTACCAGGCAATACGGAATTGTTATGAACACAAAGTGAAAATGACAAGAAGCCGCCTGAAGAAACTCGCCATAACAGCTTGGTTCTTAGCTGCGTTAGCACCAATTCCAAGCATTGTACTAAAAGCCCCGGGCATTTACTACGATGTAATTTGTTATATCGTTGAATTTTTCGCGTTGATTCTAATCGCTTATTTTTACATCATGGTGTATCGTGAAACGCGCAAACGTAAACTGATTACCAAAGTCACCGTTCTGGTGAAAACAAAACTCGAAAACAGAGTTGCTATGACATGCGCATTGACTTCAGCAGCTGTGATTCTTTCGTTTGTTCCCACGGTAACTGTTAAATTGTTGGGAGATTTGTACCCTGGTTTTCGCAAGAGTTCCGTCTTCCGATCAGCAGAGACAATATTGCAAATGAACTCTATAGTGAATCCACTAATTTACTGCTACAGGAACCGTCGCTTTAGAAACATCGTTCTCGAGATTTTGTGCATTAGAAAACCTCATGAGACTAAGCCAACAGTCCTTCCCATGCAATATGTCAGATCAAAGGATCTTTCTTCAATGGGAGGTACTCAAAAACAACCAAATGCGTACAGCTGTCGCCTTTTGTCAAGATCAGCGTCATGCGAATTAGCCAACGTGACAGTATTAAGTGGTGCAATGAAGAAAAGATCTTTATCAGCTCCTTCACTAATCAGATCACACAGCAACTCTTTTGAGAGTGCCGAGCCGCAGAACAACCCCTCGTCCATTTTAACAGTTGTTGCGACAGTCCACCCACAAAGGTTTGAAGGATATTTCTCAATATTTCGTTTATCATCGCCCAAAAACTCAAAGAAAAGTTGGGATGTTAAACGTAATTCTTTTAATGTGTCTGATCCTCCAGAGGATTTGAAGAAGGATCAATTCCCGTCCAATTACATGAAACTGAATAAGCGTCTGACAAAATCCGCCCCATTTTTTAGTGGTGCAGCCGGTTCATGTGCAGTTCCCTCACGTTCTCGTAAAGGCCTCTTGAAAAGAAGTATGTCGGCCCCATCGTTAGGTGGGCCTGATCAGAAGTTCTTGCAATGATACACTGCCGTAGCCAGATCCCGCCGTTGTCGACTTGCCTGGACAGTTTCCACCTTAAAAGTCGTAAAAAGTGTTCGGCAGAATTTTCATGTCATTAGAAAGCATTAAAAGTTATCATCATCCTCGGTGAACGTGCTTGATTTGACATTCGTATGCTTCTAGATTTACGAGTGCTAGGCTTGCAATCGCAATTTTAAAACAAGTTGTAGCCAGTTCAAAGCTCCAAGATAGCGAGGAAATCAGATCGAGAAAAGTTGCGCGAAAACCGCGAGGGGAGACGGAGTAGCGGAGCCTGTAAGAATTGTTTTCCATACCTCATTCCGATGAACCAGCCCCTGGTATACCCTATGATTGGTGAACAATTGTCACAGTTTACTTCAACACTTATGTCAATCATTTGGTTTCGCTCGTGCAGAGTCTAACAAACATGTCGAACATGTGAATCGAAACCCTCCTATACCACGCCCCTTTTGACGTTTTGATATTTGATATTTTGACAGGAGAAATGGTTTCTCAGTGAGTGGGCGGGGTAGTGAGCGGATTGAGGTATTTTAAAAGATGCTTACAGGTTCTCCCCTTATCTTTTCATGCCTTCTTTTGTTCGTTAGTTATTTTACTGCTCACTCGCTTTTTTCGCTCGTTCGGGGCCAAGCGGGGTTTCAATATAGAGAATCTAATAGTCTTTTCATTATCGCCAAAATACTGAGCTTCTTGTCTTTGAAGGCGCTTTGCATGGATCCTGAGGGGGATAGTTGTTTTAGTATTTACCGAATTAAATAAAAAAAGAAAGAGTAACTTTTGGAAATAAAAGACGTCACTTAGTAACAGCTTTGTTTTTGTTTTATGCACGGTTCAATTTGAACTGTTACCATCCCCCCGGACAAGTTTAGCCTTTCGGGCCGTGGCGTGGGGAATTGTTTCACGCGGTCCTGTCCTGTGGGTAAAGGGCTGGGGCAAATCAAAATTAATTTCCCTCTGATTTTGCGAAGTACGTGCTATTTTTTCGCGCGGTTTGCACGAAGCTGCGCAACTCATAACTGCGTTTCTTCAAGGGAAAACGCAGGAATTGGTCGGAGCGTGGTTGGAGAGCAGTGACCCATTAAAATTAACGTCTATATTTGAAGGTATGTTTTAAAATTGTAGACGAATATGGTGCGTACTCGAATGGATTTTGTTTGCAAAAGAAACAAAGAAATATTTCTTCAGCCTTGTTTAATAATAAGCCAACAAATAAATAGACTGTATATGAAAACAGATACACCGCTTTTAATATATACAAATAAACAAAGATTCAGTCCAGTGTTAATATGAGGAGGAGCAAGGGATGGCGCAGTGGTGAGAGCGCTCGCCTCCCTCCAATGTGGTTCAACTGCCGGCGTCGACGCCATATGTGGGTTGAGTTTGTTGTTGGTTCTCTCCCTTGCTCCGAGAGGTTTTTCTCCGGGTACTCCGGTTTTCCCCTCTCCTCAAAAACCAACACTTCCAAATTCCAAATCGATCTGGAACGCACGGACACGTTTAAACGAGTTCATATGAACTCCTAGGTGCTTAATGGGTAAACAAGCAATTTTTTCTCTACTATGAAGTGTTCAATCAAGGAGGCGCTTGACAGTTTTTTTTTTTTCTTTCTTTTCGTTTTCAAACGTATTGTTCATGTTTTAACTACCATGTATTATCCTTCTCTCAATAAACTCTAGAAAAACGTTTATGAAAGTTCTGAAAACTTCTCGTTTTGCTGTTGTTCGAAATCACTGTTGTTCCCAAAAATATGTACCGGGAAAAAACCTATATGAGGTCAATCAGGAGCTCGGGGCTGGGGTATTGCGTCCTTCTGCATGCCCGGAGGTGGAGAATAGACCACTAGGGAAGAAAAAAATTGCAAATCCCCGAGGTATGCCCGGTGAGGCATGCTAACAGGTCAAAGTGTAACATCCATTAATTGACAGTGTTTGGCTGATTTGTCGAGTGCATTTTCACTATTTTATTGTTCCAAATTCAGTAAGAAAATACTTTTCTTTTTTATTACCTTAAAGTGATCACCACCAAGCCAATTTCCGGCGCAGTTACCATACAGCGTCATTTTGCATCGATTGTGGGAGTTTTGAGGAACCGATTATCTTCCATATTTGCAGTACCGACTAACAGACAAATAGTATGGCATTTAGAACACTTTTTAAATAACCTATGGTGAAATTGATGAATGGATGTTCAAAAGGTTCTTATTGAAAGCGTGCGTGAGTCTTATGTTTGTCTTATGAAAAGTCTATGTTCTTTCGGAAAGTCACGTATTAAAATTACAGACTTGGATCGATGACAAAATTTATCGAAATAGGAATCACAATTCTTGTAGACATTTTTAAAGGAATCAAGAAGCATTGTGAAAAAAGAACCCACAGGAATCATGAACATCAAGATTCAATGGATTCCACTCCACCCCGCGAAATGTGGAATGCTTTCTCAAGCTTTCCTGACCCGAATCTGAGATCACAAATCTCTCGAAAAACGGCACTCTACCCATTCTTACTTGTGAGCTTGGGCTACCTGTAAGTAAATTTGTTTTAAATTACTTTTTCAGTAGCGTTGCGCAAGATGCTGTCCAAAATTTTCCTTTTTGAAAGACTGTCTCATTTAAGCTATTCAAAATTTAAGTGACAAAAATTTCTCTCAAAATATTTTACAAAGGGGCGGAATGAAACTAATGACATTTCCCGTCCTTATGCACGAAACACAATCCAACAAAAGACTCACTCATTTCCCTAGTACAACTGTTACTCCTCTTCTCTTTTGTTTTGTCC